AGTTTTAGAGTAATAATGCCCATTCTCTCAGTATGTTACAATAACATGATTATCTTCAAAATAAGAAGAGTTAAATTTTTTCTTTTACCTAATTCCAAATATATTGATGTTTGAATTTTGGAAATTCCCCATTGGCTGCCATTATAAACGGCTATCAATATGGCTTTCCTAAAGTGTACTTTTCTCAAAAATTCCACTGTGAAATTTTCTAATATTGCAGATTTCTATAGTTAATATATTGATTTTAAAAAAATCAAACAGGTACATTTCTAAAAAAAAATTTATTTTTGATATATTTAGCGCTTAAAAACTATAAAAACCTATATTGAGCCCCATGTTAATTTATCAATCTTCAAAAGACACCCTGCAGAACAGTTTTAGAGAAATAATTCTCCTAGTATGTTACAATAACATGGTTGCCTTCAAAATGAGAAGGGTTAAAAAAATTTCTTTTTCGTAGTTCCAAAGATATAAAAAAATTCTTTAACCTAGTTCCAAAGATATTGGCGTTTGAATATTGGAAATCCCCATCGGTTGCCATTATGATCCGCTATCAATATGGCTGGCTTTACTAAAGTTTTCTCAAAATGTCCACTATGGAATTTTTAATATTGTAGATTTCTATGGTGAATATATTAATTTAAAAAAACTCAAATAGACACATTTCCTATTTTTGATATATTTATCCGTTAAAAACTATATTGAGCCCAGTGTTAATTTATCAATCTTCAAAAGACTGATTCAGCAGTTCAACAGTGATAAGCCCATATTCATAGGATGTTACAATAACACAATTCTCTTCAATATAAAAGGAATAATTTTTTTGCCTAGTTCCAAAGATATTGACGTTTGAATTTTGGAAAAAAAAAATTGGCTGCCATTTTCAATGCCTATCAATGTGGCTTTACTAAAGTTTCCTTTTCTCAAAAAGTCCACTATGGAATTTTCTAATATTGTAGATTTCTATAATTAATATGTTGATTTAAAAAAATCAAACAGGCACATTTCTGAATTTTTTTTATTTTTATTATATATTTAGCCATTAAAAATATTAAAAAAAAACTATATTGTGTCCCATGTTAGTTTATCAATCTTCAACTAAATGGCTAAATATATTAAAAATAAGAAATTTTCAGAAAGGCACCTGTTTGATTTTTTTTAAAACCAACATATTAACTATACAAATCTACAATATTAGAAAATTCTATAATGAACTTTTTGAAAAAAGGACACTTTAGTAAAGCCATATCGATAGCGGTTTATCATGGCAGCCAATGGGAATTTTCAAAAAGTCAAGGGCGAATATATTTGGAACTAGGTAAAAGAAAAAACTTTTACACTTCCTATCTTCAAGATAATCATGTTATTGTAACATACTGAGAGAATGGGCATTATTACTCTAAAACTGTTCTGCATCGGGTCTTTTGAAGATTGATAAATTAACATGGGGCTCAATATAGGTTTTTATAGTTTTTAAAGGCTAAATATATCAAAAATAATAAATTTTTAGAAACGTACCTGTTTGATTTTTTTAATATCAATATATTAACTATAGAAATCTGTAATATTAGAAAATTTCACAGTGGAATTTTTGAGAAAAGTACACTTTAGGAAAGCCATATTGATAGCCGTTTATAATGGCAGCCAATGGTAAAATTTCCAAAATTCAAACATTATTATCTTTGGAATTAGGTAAAAGAAAAAATTTAACCCCTCTTATTTTGAAGATAATCATGTTATTGTAACATACTAGGAGAACGGGCATTATTACTCTAAAACTGTTCTGCAGGGGGTCTATTGAAGATTGATAAATTAACATGGGGCTCAATATAGGTTTTTATAGTTTTTAACGGCTAAATATATCAAAAATAAGAAATTTCTAGAAATGTACCTGTTCGATTTTTTTAAAATCAATATATTAACTATATAAATCCGCAATATTAGAAAGTTTCACAGTGGACTTTGTGAGAAAGGGACACTTTAGTAAAGCCATATTGATAGCCGTTTATGATGGCAGCCAATGGGGAATTTCCAAAATTCAAACATCAATATCTTTGGAAATAGAAAAAAGGAAAAATTTAACCCTTCTTATTTTGAAGATATGCAGGTTATTGTAACATCCTGGGACTATGGGGTTTATTACTCTAGAACTGTACTGCAGGGGGTCTTTTGAAGATTGATAAATTAACATGGCGCTCAATGTAAATATGCAAATTTTTAGAGGACTGCTATTTTCAACTGGGGCCAATTTTCAACACCACTTTCTTAGATATCAAAAATATATGCATTAATGATACTTAGGTCAAAAAATTGTGCTTTATATATAGCAAGTGCAATTCAAGGGTTTTATTGCCTTAACTGGCTCCACTAATAAAGCTTAAAGAGAGAATCAGGTATAGCGAGCAGGCTAAACAAAAAATTGTTTCAATTTTAGAATATTTTTGGCTCATTTATCTATTTTTAAAAATATCAAAAGTGCATACTTTAATCCAGGTAAACTAAAGATTTTTTTCTATATACCATTCTTATTATTTGGGAAAATTTAAACATTTTTCACTCATTTTTGCACTTTGAATCATTAATAACTTCACCAATTTATAACGTATTGTGAATCTTTTGGGAGATATTGTATTTGATATTGTAAGGAATAGATTGGTAGGTCAAATACACATGTTGCTTGTAATTTTGTCACCCCCTATAGATCAGATTCTGCCTTTAATCTTTACAGAAAAGTTAACTTTTTGGACTTAAGTGTTTTCTCACATTTTTAGGTGGAGCTTTCGTTTTATTTGCAAACGATCGCGAACACCTGTACAAAATTTTCATAATATAAGGTTAGCTTTATTTTTGATATGAGGTTTGTATCCACTATAGAATCGGTAAATCTGCAAATTCATAGAATCTTTGAATGATATTAATCATTTCAACCATTTAAAATAGACAAATGGATAGACAAAGACAGTATAGGTAATTAGTAGGCCCCCTTATGTAAATTTTGCATTAAATTATTTCTACACCCTTAGGAAATATCCCTACATGCTGTAAACTGTGTAAAAATGACAACTTCAAAATGTATGCGTTGGAAAGAGGTTCAAATAATGCGTCACTGTAGAATGAACAACTACATTATTATTTGCATAATTTTCTTTTTATTTATACTTTTTCTTCAAATAACAAGCTTAATACTCGTGTCTACGCACAGCGTCAAAATTAACTAATTTGAGTGAATTGTCCAATAAAATCGACCGAACAGAAATATTGTTTTCCACATTTCGTTAATGCATTTGCTTTGAATTTCACTACGGCGCCCGGCCGATGAGTATTTTCTTCAAAATCGACCGGAAAGTCCGGGCATCTTACGGGCATCGGGCTACGATCGGCCAATTGAGTTTTAACACGGAGATAAAAGTTGCCGTTTTTGCCGATTTTTCTCAAACAAACTCATCGGTACCTACCCGGTCGTGTCCCGTTTGGTCATCGCACGATTATCTTACATGTACATCTCCCGGTGGCATCGTACGGTCATCTTGGAATTTGCACAATTTGAAATACTTATTTTTTAATAAATCTTAATTATAGGCCTAGATGTATATGAAGATAGTGAAGTTGCTGAAGATCATTTGAAGGGTATGCATCAGTATTTGCAATTTAATAACGGAAAGAATATAACATCTACCTGGTGGTGAACCCCGGGTGGTGAACTGACACAATATTGATAAAAACTATTTCTTTCCTCACTTTCTCACTGTGTGAAATAAAGTAAATATCACTAAATCCCGCAAATAGTTAGTTGATTATTAAACCCGAAAATCGCTTTAATGAACATTAATGGACACGTCTGTATTTATACGTTTATATCTAATAGGTTATTTATGCGTATTTACCTGATTTATCAAAATATCATCGATGAGTTAGGTTATTTACTGCTTATTTCAACCATGCAACAACACCTCGTGGTATTTATCTGATTTAGGGATATCACTAAATCCTTTTAATACCCCATTGGTTATTTATGATATATTCCTGTAAATAACCATTAATAAAGTACAAGCGTATCAGTTTAGGTAGGAGTATCAGATTTCAAGTGTCAGTCGGATGTCTAAGTAGGTCACAATGCTAATGTATAATACACAGTCATGAAGATTTGAAATAGTTTCAGTTAAGATGGGGAGACGTTTTGTCTTGTTTTTCAGTTCCGAAAACGGTCATACACATAATATCAAAGATTTTATGTTTGCACTTTATAACCACACCATTCGTGCTTCGAAATCCGATGCTATGAAATATTGGAGGAATGATGTATACATGGAATTTATATTCATCTTCTACGTAAACAGTAAGTATTACCATTTTGTAAATCTTGACAATATAAATAAACCGTCTACAAAAAGTCGATTGCAGTTTGATTTTCAGTTTAATTATTCTTTATTTGTATTTAGTTTAGTTTTTTCATGTATTTAGTTTGTTGTACGATCCCGTGGTAGTAAGTATGTACACACCTGTGGCAATACGTAGGTACAATCCTGTGGCAATAAGTAGGTACAATCCTGTGGCAATAAGTAGGTACAATCTTGTGGCAATTAGAAGGTACAAACCTGTGGCAGTAAGTAGGTACTATCTTGTGGCAATAAGAAGGTACAGACCTGTGGCAGTAAGTAGGTACTATATTGTGACAATAAGAAGGAACAATCCTGTGGCTATACGTAGGTACAATCCTTCGGCTATACGTAGGTACAATCCTGTGGCTATACGTAGGTACAATCCTGTGACTATTTGCAGGTACAATCCTGTGGCTATACGTAGGTACAATCCTGTGGCTCTACGTAGGTACAGTCCTGTGGCTATACGTAGGTACAATCTTGTGGCAATAAGTAGGTACAATCCTGTGGCTATACGTAGGTACAATCCTGTGGCTATACGTAGGTAAAATCCTGTGGCTATACGTAGGTACCATCCTGTGGCTATACGTAGGTGCAATCCTGTGGCTATACTTAGGTACAATCCTGTGGCTATACTTAGGTACAATCCTGTGGCTATACGTAGGTACAATCCTGTGGCTATACGTAGGTACAATCCTGTGGCTATACGTAGGTACAATCCTGTGGCTATACGTAGGTACAATCCTGTGGCTATACGTAGGTACAATCCTGTGGCTATACGTAGGTACCATCCTGTGGCTATACGTAGGTACAATCCTGTGGCTATACGTAGGTACAATCCTGTGGCTATACGTAGGTACAATCCTGTGGCTATACTTAGGTACAATCCTGTGGCTATACTTAGGTACAATCCTGTGGCTATACGTAGGTACAATCCTGTGGCTATACGTAGGTACAATCCTGTGGCTATACGTAGGTACAATCATGTGGCTATACGTAGGTACAATCCTGTGGCTATACGTAGGTACAATCCTGTGGCTATACGTAGGTACAATCCTGTGGCTATACGTAGGTACAATCCTGTGGCTATACGTAGGTACAATCCTGTAGCTATACTTAGGTACAATCCTGTGGCTATACTTAGGTACAATCCTGTGGCTATACGTAGGTACAATCCTGTGGCTATACGTAGGTACAATCCTGTGGCTTTACGTGGGTACAATCCTGTGGCTATACGTAGGTACAAACCTGTGGCAGTAAGTAGGTACTCTCTTTTGGCAATAAGAAGGTACAGACCTGTGGCAGTAAGTAGGTACAATCATGTGGCTATACGTAGGTATAATCCTGTGGCTATACGTAGGTACAATCTTGTGGCTATACGTAGGTACAATCCTGTGGCTATACGTAGGTACAATCATGTGGCTATACGTAGGTACAATCCTGTGGCAATAAGTAGGTACAATCCTGTGGCAGTGAGTAGGTACAATCCTGTGGCAATGAGTAGGTACAATCCTGTGGGAATAAGTAGGTACAATCTTGTTGCAGTGAGTAGGTACAATCCTGTCGCAGTAAGTAGGTACAATCCTGTGGCATTGAGTAGGTACAATCCTTTGGCAATAAGTAGGTACAATCCTGTGGCAGTAAGTAGGTACAATCCTGTGGCTATACGTAGGTACAATCCTGTGGCTATACGTAGGTACAATCCCGTGGCAATAATTAGGTACAATCCTGTGGCAATAATTAGGTACAATCCTGTGGCAATAAGTCGGTACAATCCTGTGGCAGTAAGTAGGTACAATCCTTTGGCAGTAAGTAGGTCCAATCCCATATCATTCCCATGGGTGGTAGTAGGTAAGAGCTTCAATATTGCGGATGCTAAAGTAACACATGCATTTTATTGTTTTAGACTAAACTATGGAGAGGAAAGGTGGCCAGTGAAGGAGACACTGAGTTCCATTTGTGGAGTGTTGGAGGGACAACAGAAATAATGTCCGACGAGGAGTTCGACAATGAAACAAAGACGGTTAACTTGAGAACTACACGATGGAGAACAGAACGTTTCAAAAACTACATCAAAATCCTAGATAAACGAATTAAGGACCGTAAACTTAGAGACTACATCCATGAGAGAAAGCGTAGTGGACCCTCTGAGAGATCAAAGCCTAAAAACTGGCAAGGGAAATACCCTGGTGTGGTCGAGTAAGGGCGAATGAGTCTTGTACAATCCCGTGTTCCGTGCCCGTGTTACATGGCCGAAGCTTACGGTCCCAAACTGAATGCAACAAATAATTATAACACAGTTAATAAAATCATAATAGGGCTATACCTTTCATATTTTAGCAATATGAAAGTAGGATAACGACAATCAAGTTCTGAAAGTTTCATGACTCTCATTCAAATTATTTGTATTATTTTTCATAGCCTTTCACAGATATGTTCGATTTCATCCACTTCCTGTAAATGCATGACTAGCTACTGAAAGTAAAATCATTATAGAGATTAATAATAAATGCTATTAAAAATTGTACATTTTCGCCTTATTTATGTAAGTGAAGCAAGGTCATATCGTATTAATATGCTACAATATTATAGGCAGGACAGAGTATATACCACAGCGCGCCCCCCCCCCCCTATCCATAAAGAAATCCTATTATAAAACGTGATGATCAGATAAATACCTCATAATTTAGCGCAAATGCGTTTAGGTATTTATGTCATAAATGACGACACATGGCCCAAATGTCCATTGATACCCAGTAAAAGCCAATCGGAGTATCAACGTTAGGTTATAAATACCATAAATACTCATTGATATTAGTATAAACAGAATAATATGCATTGCGTAACTCGGGTCACATGGCATTAATACCTAAATAGATACCCCTGTGTATTTACATGACTTTGATAAATACACATTAATAAACTACTAATACATTCCAAGCAATAAATAAATACATCATAAATAACCAACACTATTCATGGGTTATTTGAAACGGTATATGACTTAAATACCTAGGTGGTATTTAGTGATATCTATCTAAACGATAAACAGTTATTAACGGTGATTGTTGAATTATTTTTCTTAATAATCAATAAATAGTTTATTAATCCCATAGAGATTTAAGTGCCTTTGACGCAGTGTCTCTACCTAGGAAACGGCGATCCAAAATGGCGGAAATGATAACGTATACGTAAGGTGTACGATGGCATTATTTGTGTTGTCGATGGTTAGGCGTGGTGATTAACGATATGCGATTTGACAGCCAACACTTTACACAATCCGGTCCGGTCTGCCTGTAGCGGCGTTTGTGTTGTATACCGTGGTATCGTAATGTCGAAGTCGGTCAAGTATTTCAAAGGCCTTTACTTGAAGTACCATGTGCAAAAGACGGGGGGACTTTTATTGCTCATAAATATTCGAACAGCAAGTCCTCTGTTTCTATGTATTCATGTTTATGTATTTATAATACCCTCATAATGACATTGTATCAAGGTGTGCTGCAATGTGGTATCCCGCATTTTGTTTTCTTGAAGACATCAAATATCAATTGCTGCACATTGAACGGCCATCAAATATCAATTGCTGCCTTTTAAAAGGTATAACATATTGTCTTAAAACATCCTTGACAATAACACTGGTATTACGGTGTCAAACCCAAACAAGACTTGCTTTGGTATGATTAGGCTTGCTTTGGTATGATGAGGCTTGCTTTGGTATAATTAGGCTTGCTTTGATATGACAAGGCTTGCTTTGGTATGATTAGGCTTGCTTTGGTATAATGAGGCTTGCTTTGATATGACAAGGCTTGCTTTGTATGATTAGGTTTACTTTGGTATGATGAGGCTTGCTTTGACATGTTTGATATGGTTCCTAGTCAACTCGGACCCTAGTTAACTCGGACCCTAGTTAACTCGGACCCTAGTCAACTTGGACCCTAGTTAACTCGGACCCTAGTCAACTCGGACCCTAGTCAACTTGGACCTATGTAATTTTTATTTTTCCTTAGTTGAGCATTAAAATGATAAGGTATATACAAGGAGCGATCCATATATTCTGATAAAAATGCTCTCATTTTGTGATTTTTTCACATATCCCTTTTATTTTTTCAGAACATGTAGATTATGTAATTACACATACAATGCTAAAATATTATAGCTATATCTTAAATTAATTTTGAAAAAAGGTTGCCATGGTAACCTGTATTTAGTGTAGGCAGGTCAGTTCAATTATAATGTATAAAATAGATAAATTTGTTAATTTAATCATTCCTCGGTACCTATTTTAAGCAGATCAAACGCATCTCCCAGTCATTGCCAACTATTTGTTGAACTGTTCCATACCCCTGTTGCCCTTGTTTGCTAATTTCTACAGTGGGATAGTTCTCTCTTCATAAGTTGCATCTCAATTTATCGTAGTGTTAGTCTCTGTCCACAAGTTCTTCTTGCAACCAGATTGTGGATTATCTTCAACAGTTACCACGCCTTCCTCTTTACAATAATACCTATAGATTCTTTAAGCAGATATAACACCTTGCCCATACATTTAACAAGTCCATATTTCTCTGACAGTGTCCTCTTACTTATTCTTGCAATTGATAGTACATAAAATCTAATGGTACTCCTAATGTATCTGTTAATGTCACACTCTGCATCAGCCACACTTACCTCATCTGACATTTTGATTTTTGGTGTGTCTCATGACATGTAATGTTAACTGGCCAGTTCTGTCATACATTGCTATTGTGAGTTGTTGTGATGCTATAGTGAGCACAAATAAACTTTTGTTTAGCAGCAAACAACGAGCAACAATACCAAACCTTTTTAGAAAAAATGTTTGATTTCCGCATGTTTTAAAATAATTAAAATAACAATTTATTATGATATTTTATATGTTTTAATTTGATTGACCTGCCTACCCCTAATACAGGTTACCATAGCAACCCTATTTCATTAATAATTTTAAACATAGCTAAAATATTTTAGCATTGTATGTGTAATTACACAATCTACATTTTTTCTGAAAAAATGAGAGGGATATGTTATAAAATCACAAAATGAGAGCATTTTTATCAGAATATATGGATCGCCCCTTGTATAAAAACAACATTAATCATATATAATTGTTAGATAGAACAATGGTTGATAATGGTGAAAAATAATTCTGACACTTTTGAGTCAATCATAAACCATTCAGCCTGATTGTGAAATCATATACTGGTAGGAATAAATATTAAATAACCAAGAGTTTGATTTAACATGAAACCAGTTAATTTGTCTTCCAAACAAATAGTATGTAACAATAAATTAGAAATTCAACGTGAATTAAATGTTGTTGACCTCAATTCTTCAAACCAAGTTAAAAGGGGTAAACATGTTAAATAAATTGAAAGCCCATGATTTTTAAGGAATTTCTTATAATGAAAGTAAAAGATTAGTTTCAAATCAAATGATAACACCATATTTGATAATTTTGTAACTTGTATTTGCAATTCTTTGATTTATTAAATCAAAATATATTTCAAAATCCCTACTCATTGAATATTTTACTAAGGTCACCAAATTATTTAATCATTGTATTTCCACATTTGAAGCTTTGAAATATGAAATAAAAATGTGTAATGAAATAATCATGTATTTTCGACAAACAGAAAGTAATTTTACACACATGTTTAGAAAATGAAATTGGAAATAAAATTGTTTAAAACACAAATGCGCTATATGCGCTAACACATTTCCCCATACTGTATATTGGAATTAATGTAATACCTCTATATTTTGTTACTTCAACACCCTAATTAAATGCTTATCAGAGGATACAAGATTTGTTAATTAGGTTTCTTAGTCAAAGTTATTATAACAGCATTATACACAACAGGCTAATTTGAATTCATTTTTTAAAGACATAGTATAGTTCCAATTCTATATAAAGTCAATATAAAATGAATCAAAATCATTCTAAATCATTCTTATTTAATTACAAGGAGTTATTTGATCCCACATGACGCAAATATAGTAGCATAAAAGTATAAAGGTTGTAAAGACTGATTTTGACTCATCAGAAATATACATAAACATCATTATTTAAAGATTTCAGTAATGAATTGAATTATATCTTAAACTATTCCAATATTCTTAATATTTTGAGAGTTAATTGCTTTCACCTCTAACATAGTAAAATACCTCTGATTTATATTAAATATAACTGGGTCCAAGTTAACTAGGGTCCGAGTTGACTAGGGTCCGAGTTAACTAAGGTCCGAGTTGACTAGGGTCCGAGTTAACTAGGGTCCGAGTTAACTAGGGTCCGAGTTGACCAGATACCTTTGATATGATGAGGGTTGCTTTGGCATGTTGAGGGTTAATTTGACATGATGAGGCTTGCTTTGGTATGATAAGACTTGCTTTGGTATTATAAGGCTTGCTTTGATATGACAAGACTTGCTTTGGTATGATAAGGCTTGCTTTGGTGTGACAGGGCTTGCTTTGGAATGACAAGGACAGGTATGACAAATCTTGCTTTGGTTGATAAGGCTTGCTTTGGAATGACAAGGCTTGCTTTGATATGACAAGGCTTGCTTTGATAAGGCTTGCTTCGGTATGACAAGGCTGCTTTGGTATGATGAGGCTTGCTTTGATATGATAAGGCTTGCTTTGGAATAATGAGGTTGCTTTGGTACGATAAGGCTTGGTTTGGTATGAAGAGGTTTGCTTTGATATGATAAGGCTTGCTTTGGAATGACAAGGCTGCTTTGGTATGATGAGGCTTGCTTTGATTTTAGGGGGCTTGCTTTGGTATCATTGTGCTTGCTTTGATAAAATGAGGGTTGCTTTAGTATGATAAGGTTTGCTTTGGTATGATAAGGCTTGCTTTGATATTATAAGGCTTGATTTGGTATAATGAGGCTTGCTTTGATATGATTAGGCTTGCTTTGGCATGATGAGGGTCGCTTTGGGATCATGAGGGTTGCTTTGGTATGATAAGACTTGTTTTGGTATACTATAGATCTTTTGCTTTACTTTGGTATTCAAAGTTGCTTCCCTCTGAGCAAGAGAGCCTTCCAGAATGTTTGCTAATCAAATAGGAAAAACTAAAATAATTTTAATTAGACCAAGTTTTAATTTATTATCATCACTACAAAGGGTATAGAGTAGATTGTGTACAAATATAATTTATTCATTCTAGGCCTATAACATTCCAAAATAATTGAGATAAACTTGTACAATCACTACAAACAGACAAAGGGTATAGAGTAGATTGTGCACAAATATAATTTATTTATTCTTGGCCTATAACATTTTAAAATAATTGAGATAAACGTGTACAATGTTTACAAATTCAGGAGTATAGTAGTGCTATAGTGTGTATAGGGTGACCAAATAAACATGTAACCCATTAATCATTTTCAGCCTCCAGTTATCAGGAATAACAGGTTTTACTAATTACGGTCATCCTGTATGTATGGAACTAAATACAATCACTACAAACAGACAAGGGGTATAGAGTAGATTGTGCACAAATATAATTTATTTATTCTTGGCCTATAACATTTTAAAATAATTGA